CACATAATAATAAAAAAAATGCAATTAACTATTAACTATTGGGACCATTAACTATTTGATTACATTCTTCAAAATATCTTATTTTGTGTTCAGCAGAAAAAAGAAATGGGCATGTGATCACAGAATTTTGATTTTTGGGTTAACTATCCCTTTAAGGTAATTGTATGTCATGGTAACAATATTGTATGTCGTATTATATTTATCTTGCTGGAAAATGAATGAAATAAAATTATTGGTTAAATAGCTATGAGGTAATGTCTATATATGGATGATCTAGTGATTTAAATATGTAATTTCACTTGTTTCTTTTTAAGTTTTTGTTTAGAACTGTATAGATGCAAACCAAAAGATCTAAATATTCATAACAAAAATGTCTGGTATTAAAGTTAAAGCAAAATCTGTACTGTTCCATAGACATTTCTTTGTGTGTGTGTAGATAGAGGGCGCTGCAGTTCAGAGGGACTGAAGTGTGAAGGGCAGCAGTGGCGTTACATTTTTCATCTAATTTCCGAACTTCCATCTGGCATCTTCCATTTTAACACCTGTTAGCACGTCGGTTTTTTTCATTTTGAAGCATGCATTATCTTTTGGGAGCTGGTGCGGGCAGGGAATGAGTGTGGCGAGTGAGATCATCTGTTGTGTTTGGATCCGCCGTCCCCTGTGATTCCCACAGAATACTCCCATTATCGCTAAAGAAAGCCGTCACCATTTCAATGTTGCTTTAATTTCCTTTCAAGGTAAGTGCTGTAATATTAGACCTTGAACAGCAGCTGCTTTTTTAAAATATGCAACATTCCTGCTGCTTGCTGAGTTGCTGCAGATGTTGATGTCACGCACACAGAGATGTGGTGGTTTCTGTGTGTATTCAGTTGATATTAGGTAGGACTTCACATGCTGATGAATAGATGCTAAGACTCTGGAGTGTCCTGTGTGAGTGAATCAGTGCATTTGCATAAATATACATATGGGTGTCAAAGTTAGACAGATAAGAAACTCTTGGTCTCCACTGGTCTTGAACGAACACTCAGTCCGTTTACTCATTTGAATCCATTAATATTTGGGGTTTTAAGTTCCTAACCCAAAATATGAAAAATAAGATTTATGCTTGCCCTAGAAAACATTTATGTTGAACATAATGAGAAAAGACTGAACAATTAAATAATACAAAGACAAAAGATAAAGCTAGTTATTTTAAAGGGATAGTTAACAGAAAAATAAATATTTTGTCATTTTCTCATCCTTATGTTGTTCCAAACCTGTGTGAGTTTCTTTTTCTGTTGAACACAAAAGAAGATATTTTGAAGAATGTTATTAACCAAAGAGTTGCAGGTAGCCATGGTATTTG